AGAGACCCCGAGTTTCCTCAGCCTCAAAAATGCCACATCCTCTCATCCTGAGGGACCCCAATTTCCCTATACCTGATGAATCCCAAAGCCTCTCAACCTGAGCATCCCAAATCTCTTTAGCATGAAAGAACCAAAATCTTGTCCTGAAAAACCCCAAATACTATCAGCCTGAAAGACTCCAAATCTCCTCGACCTCAAAAACCCCCAGAACCTCAGCCTGAGAGACCCCAAATGTCATTGGCCTTGAAGACCCCAAATCTCCTCAGCCTGAGGGATTGCTGCTCCTTAGAGATCCAGGCTGCTTTACTCCCAGAGTTTTCCAGAATCTCCTGGTGGAGATCCCAGAATCCTTCCTATGAGAAATGTTCATTTCTTCTCTCTGGAGCAGAACTCTGCTGGTCAGTATAACCCGAGTCCCACCAGTCAGGGGACCTCAAGGTCTCCATGGGACTCCCCTGGCCCTCACACCTCAGGAGTCACCTCGAAGACACCTAAGCCTTGACCCTCAGGCACCTTTGCCACCCTTCCTCAGATGCGTCAAGCTGCAGGGGAACTGAAACAAAACAGCTCACATTAGGTGGTCTGTCGTGGCCAGCGGAGACCCCCCCATCCCGTCAATAGCTCCCAGACCTCCCCAACTTCCTCCAGTCCTTGCAGGGTCCCCACATCTTTCTAGTGTAGACACCGCAACCAAGTGGAGAAGACAGAGCCTGGCTCTGGGCAGTGGTCTGGGCTGTGGCCCCCTGTCAGCGCCCTCTCTTTCCACAGGAGCTTTGGCCTTGCAGCTGGGAGACTCAGGGGACCATCCCAGCCTTGGAGGTGGAGCAGGGCCTGCAATCCTGTGCCAGCACCATGAGCTCCAACAGCTCCCCGGAGGAGAACCCTGAGGGAGATGCAGGGAGAACAGGGCGGAAGCCCACGGTGGGAGGAGGGGGAAGTCGAGCGAGGCTCCAAGCAGGATTTGTACGAAGGATGGAGAAGGGGTACTAGTGACAAGGAGCTGGTGTCTGCAGGGCCGCAGACTTGTGGCCTGCAACTCTTTGTGACCCTGGCTGTGAATGTGCATGCAATGGGGACAATTGGTCGCGTCTGG